CCGTGCACTAGTGCCTCCCGATTTTACAATGAAACGTGTTTTGCCATCTTTGGGACTGATTCGAAGTTTTCCAAAAAGAAAAAAATTTATTGTGTAAAAATTTGAGCAGCATTTCCCCATAAATATAAGCTTCCCCAAAGCCAAAATAACATGTTGAATATAATAAGTATAAATGCATTGCAACGCCAATAATAAAAACATTGCAACACTAATAATGTTGTGTATACATTTTACAACAAGCAAAACAACCAATATTTCATATACTACTACTCACGGGCCTCTTAAGCTTGTACTCGCTCCAAATTCTGACCGCAAGTTCCAACCGGTAAGTTTCTACTTGTTCTTCAACGAGGTCTTTTAACGGGATTCTGTGGACAAGGTATTCGATAAATTTGTATGTGTAAAGTCTGCAGTCACCTGATCTAAGGTTGTGGACCAACCACTTGGGACGAACGATTGGCCACGCACAGTCAAGTTTATCGCCCAGATGGTTAAATAAACCTGTGTACTTCAAGAACTTGGGCATCATGACAGAGATTGGCTCCACGTGTTTTTACATATGTTGATCTCTGTACATCATAATAGCTGAGCCATACACCTTTATGTTGAATTCAGATAAATCAACATAAAGCGCAACCCAATGCTTCCTCTCAATGTTAAGAGGCATAGTGAAGCCCTGCGTGCCATCCCATTTCTAGCCAATTATGCACTTTTTTCCACAGACATATTCATCTAGGTCGTTGTCAAATGTATACGTTGCCAAGTTCTTTTTGTTGGTGATGAATCGCCCTCTCAATTTTTGGCAAAATACATCATCTAGGACGATAATATCGTTATTGAACTGCCCTTCGGGTGCCCGTGACCTTCTCATAGATAGAAGACCCATGCCTCGTCAATTTGCTATAAGTCATAAAAAATAAATTTAGTATAATGATAATGGTATAAAAAATAAGACTATAAATTTAGAAAATATGTTGTGATTACTTACATCATTGAACAGCCATTCACCTGGCTTCAAGATCATCCGGAAGAAGTCCTTATTCTAATCTCTAAAACCGCACTCAATCAGCTCAGAGTCTGTACTAGTATCAGCGAACCACTTGTTGAAGGCCTCGACAGCATCTTTAAAGGTCCACATCTTCTTCCTCACGTTACGCAGGGGATCTATGTAAGGGGACTCAAAATACTTGCTGGGCCTTTTAAGTCACTTTTCATTCTTGGATTCAGACTCTGGCTCTGAATGAACCTATTGCTCAAGTTGTTCCTCAGGCTCTAGCTGAACCTGTGGCTCATGTTGTTCCTCAGGCTCTGGCTAAACCTGTAGTTCAAGTTCTTCCTCAGGCTCTGGCTGAACCTGTGGCTCAAGTTGTTCTTCAGGCTCTGGCTGAACCTGTAGCTCAAGTTCTTCCTCAGGCACTGGCTGTGGCTGTAATTGTTGTTTTTCTAGACATGCTATATTGTCCTTAATTTCTCTAACAAATTGGTCTAGCGAGTCTAACCTCTTGTTGATGGCTTCAAAATGTCTACCATTGTACTCTACCATCCTGTGATAGAGTATGTCAAGTATGTAATCAATAGACATACCATCCTGCGGACGAGGTTGTTGTTGTTGTTGTATTTGTTGTTGTTGTTGTTGTTGTTGTTGTTGGGAAAGTTACTGTTGTTGTTGGGGAAGTAGTTGGAGACGAGCCAATTGTTTGGGAGGCTTCGGTTGCTGGACATGGACCATTCTTGCACCAGAGTCTAAAAACAATGCAAGCTGGTCAATCTCAGGATCTTTTTGGTCGGCATAAGGCAGATACAACCTCATGCACATACTATTCATTTCCTCCTCAGTGGGATAAAGAATTGGTACGGCCATTCCCTGTATATTAAAAGAACATACATTCAATGATTATTTAGGTGGAAGCATATTGTAAAAAAAATAAATATGCCTATTTTGTAAAAAAATACCTATAAAAATATTGTATTTAAACCCTTACCTCGTCACTTTGCATGAGGTCGTCTATCTGTCTAACCTCGACCAATGAAGCCCGGCGTGCCTCCCATTTGAGGATTCTGGGAAGACGTCCATCAACCATCTTTGCAAACGTGGCGCCGATGGTTGGAAATGTTTCGAATGTCCAAACCTGCGTAAACCAATTTTTTTAAGTCTAGTAAAACAAAAAACAAGGTATTATTTACTATAAGGCCATGAAAAATTATGCATATAACTGTATGACATACCTGGAAGGCCCAAGGAAACCCGCGTATGAGTAGGTTTCCTTAATGCTTTTATTACGTCCTTTCCAAACCCATTTCTAGAATTTCTCTTTCAAGTTCTTCTTCAAAGCCCGCATAGTGCATTCAAAAGACACCTTGCCTCATGGATAGCTGTTGAAGAATTCTAAATCGTCGATGTAAGACAACCAATCCAGTGGGACGGTATTCTTCTCGTCCCCAGATAGTAATACTTGTGCTAAAAAATAAATGATAGCGATCTTTGCTTTATCGCTACCTTTTATCTTCTTTCCTGTGAGCAATTTCTTTAAATCAGCAACAAGTACTACGTGGGACTTAAAATGCTCCAACAATCTTATATTCTTCGAAGCTTTCAACACCACGTCCGGCTCTGAGGTTTCCCTGCAGTTCAATCCAGTGATTAAAGTAAATTCCCTCATTCCGAACCTAGTTGGTTTTCCATTAACCATGACCACAACTCATGTCTCTTTTCTGTTTCTATCTGCCTCACAAGCAGATAGTGTGTCAATACTTCAAAATAGATCATATTTTCAGACATCAAAATAAAATGTCCGAAGGCAGATTCTTTAAAAATTGGCATTTCCGTTTCGGGGTCTAGATTCTGCCTTATTACCTCCAGGGCCTCGATCTTTGACTTCATAGTGACTTTCACTGGGAAGTACTCCCGCATAGGATCCATGATCATCCTTAGATGTTCAATCCCAGGAAGTTCATCTGTGTTATACTTCGAGAGGTCATATTGAAAAAAAAGAAAAAATACATCGGTCAGAACCGACCAAGACGACATAACCGACTAGAATAGACCAAGAAACCAAACAAGAACCCACTGAACCGACCATGACCCGACCGAACTGACCCCAAAACCCGACAGGAACCGACCTGAACCGACCAAGACATACCAAGAACCGACCCGAACTGACCAACCACTGACCAAGAACCGACCTTCACCTAGAACTGACCAAAATCGACCAGAACCGACCCTACTTGACAATAACCGACCCACCAGAACCGACTTAAAACTGACCTAGAACCGACTGCGAACAGACCAGAACCAAAACCGACTAATAACCGACTATGAACAGACCAATGTTGCTTATATTAAGTTTTTGTTCTTGCAAAAATGTATAAGAAAAAGTAAAACAAGAATATTACCTTAGCAGATTCCGTTGCCTCGTCGACAAGTGTTCGGGAAATGACCGTTTTAGTTGAGGAAGAAGAGTTGTTTTGTGATGCCATTTCAGTCTAAAAGTCACCGGTTTTTAGTCGGATTTTGGTGAGGAGGTGGTCGGTTTTTGTGGTCGGATTTTTGGTGAGTGGTCGAGGTCGGTTTTAGTGGGAAGGAAGGTCAGTTTTTGGTGAACGGTCGATTTTTGGTGAGGAGTGGTCGATCGGCCGACGAGAGAGATCGGAGAGAGTGGATCGGCCGGTGAGAGAACTTCGGCGAGAGAGAGAGAAATAGGTGAGAGGAAAGTCGGCGGTCAGTGATGGTCGGTCGTGAGGTTGGTGACTAATCGGAGAGAAAAGCCGGCGGTCGGTGAGAGGAGATCGGAGAGAAAAACCGACGAGAGGGTCGGTCAGTTGTGAGGAGAGCTCAGTCGGGGGGGAGAGGGTCGAGCGGTCGGTTTCAAGGGGAAAGAGGGTCGAGCGGTCGGTTTTGTGAGGAGAGAATTTTTGAAAATGACTCATATACTTAGACTAATAAGACTAATTTTTTACCACGTAAAATACACGTCCTGATTTTTTTATTATAAAAAAAAAACTGATCTACTTTCTCAAATTCTGTTTTGCTCCGGTCTCTTTTATCAAATTTTCTCACGAAAATGACGTGATATTAATAAGAACAATCGTCTGAGACTCCTTTCTTTTCTCTCTCGATCTCTCCGCCTGTCTTCTCTTCTATTGTTTTCCCAGAACCCAACATTAACAAACAACTTCTTCAGATTCCTTTCCGATACTTCTCGATCCTTTTCTCCTCTCGAACACACATTTCTCTTTTGTTTTTGTCTTTTCCATTTTCGGATTTGAATAGTTTGATCTTCGGAAACCCATAATTGGCCTTCTTATTGTAATCGTTCGACGAAATGAGCACCGGAGACCTTCTCAACATCGAGCCTCTCGAGCTCAAGTTTCCCTGTCTGTATCTGTTTTTCCTTCTCTTCTCGGATCTCGCTTTTTTTTTTTTTTTGGCTACGTTTTTTGGAATTTTCTTTTAAATTTTAATCGCGGTTGTTTATGGGTTTCAACTGTTTTCGTCTTTTAGTTGAATTGAAGAAGCAGATCTCTTGTTCGCTTCAATTGTCCAATAAGACCGATAACTATGTGGCTTTCAAGGTAATTCATTCCTCTTTCTTCATGCCTTTTGCTACTCTATGTCTTCTGATGTTCTTTCTCATAAAATGCTCGAAAATTAGGGTTGTTCTGACGCTTCTTTTGGCTAAATTACTTCCCTTTTCCTTTGATTGGTTATTTCGAATTTCAAATTATGTATTGCAACCGACAATAATGGGAAATGTGGATTCAAATCTCGAGATTCAAAATTTAAATTTGGGTTCAATTTTCTGCATTATTCTCAATCGGGGTCAAATAAAAACCAGATCTTGCATGTGTTTTGGTGATAATAATGGTAGAATTGATCATGTTTCAGGTCAAAACTACGAATCCCAAAAAGTACTGTGTCCGTCCCAACACTGGAATTGTCTTGCCTCGTTCCACATGTGATGTTATAGGTGCGATTTCAAATCACTTACAATGGGTTCATGTGTTACCTTGATTTTAGTTTCAAATAAATTAAATATATATATATATATATATATATATTTTTCTGGTTCTTGGTTTAGTCACGATGCAAGCACAAAAAGAGGCCCCTTCAGACATGCAATGCAAGGACAAGTTTCTCCTTCAGAGTGTAAAAGTGAATGATGGTACTATTGCCAAGGATATTAATGCGGAGATGGTAACTATATATATGAATTTTACTTATAAGACAAGCACATGACAAAAGCTTACAAATTGCGTTCAACTTTTTGAGCTTTCCGTTAAATTTGATTGATTTAAGAAAATGGGTTTTGATGCAGTTTAATAAGGAGGCAGGGCATGTGGTTGAAGAATGCAAATTGAGAGTGGTCTACGTTTCTCCACCTCAACCACCTTCTCCTGTGGCAGAAGGATCAGAAGAAGGGTCTTCCCCAAGGGGTTCTGTTTCAGAGAATGGAAACGCCAATGGTGCTGAATTTGTGAATGTGAGTACTTGAGTCAAACGATCTTGAGATTAAATATGGTCATGTATTTGATAGAAAGGTATTGATTTCATTCTCATATCTTCTACTGGTGATCACAGGCTACAAGGGCTTTGGCCGATCGGCTTGATGTCCAGGACAAATCTTCAGAGGTAAACCCAGAAAAGAAAAGAGATTATTTGATTTTGTGAAACCATGAGTAGTTTCTAGTGTTTGTAGTGAGAGTTAAATACTTCTTTTCCCATTTGTTCATGTTTATTTCACATACATTGCCACACAAAGATCACGTCATTTTATGGTTACTCAGTTTGCCTCTCATTTTTCTTATCGTAGCATTCATTGTTTCATTGATATTTCTTTCTCGACATACGGTGTGGAACCTCTCCTGGAGCCGCTTCACCAATATGCATGAAGAGAGTAGTTTTTGATAATTCATCTTGTCATTGTCTTAGAAGCATATTGCAATATTCAAGTGCTAGTAGGACAAACAAATGGTCGCTGAAGTTTGTCAGCTTCTACTTCGGTTGGATATGTGCCCTGCAGTTTGTATATGTTACATTTGCTTTAGTAGGTGTTCGACATAATTCCAGGTTGCACTTTCTTTACAATACTAAACCTATTGCAGGCAAAAGCTCTTATCTCGAGATTGACTGAGGAAAAAAACAATGCAATTCAACAAAATAGCAAGCTTCGTCAGGAACTGGTAAGGCCCCAATACGAGCCTTCTCGTACTTACATATATTGAACCTTGTATATTTTAATCTATATGATTGCTGCTATTATTTTTTCTTGGTATATTCATTGAGATGGTTACGTTGTAAGTTTTCCTTCATTGTCTTTTTTTAATTTATGGGTAGTTGATATCAGAGTAACAAACCATGGTGCGTGTTTTCTTGTCACTTATGACCTTTGGTTAGATTTGGAAGTGTGCCTGTCTCCAAACTATTCTGGATGAATGAAAAAATAAATGAACTTTGGTGTAGCTATGGGTAAAGAGGCTTGTAAAGCCGCATACATTTTCCTTTTTGTCTCGAAGATTTGAAGGTTCTTCAAAGACTTCTTTGTACATGACCTGTAAATCTCATTAATATTATGAGATGAATATATTAGGAAACATTGTTTAAGGATTTCATGAGGAAAAGAGAAAAATAAAAATAAAAGGCAACTTGCCATCGCTTAATTTTTTATTTCTGCATGACCGGTCTTTGTTGAGTTTATTGGCTGGCTGTGGTTCCTTTTGTTTTAGTATGCACTCACTTTTGACAAAGTACAAGTCTAAGATATATGTTCAGATGTTCAGGACCTTATGAGATTGTATTGTGTAGGAACTTCTGAGACGTGAGGGCAGCAAAAACCATGGCGGAGGTGTTTCGTTCTTGTTCGTCATCATTGTCGGTTTGGTTGGCATAATTTTAGGATATCTCATGAAGAGAACGTAAGCACCAGTCCGCTAGCAATTCTTTCTGATACTGCCTTGTCGGTTCCTTTTTTGACCCCAAATTGTTGAAGAATGAGGAGGGGACGAGAAGAAAGCAACTAAGAGGAGGTGGTGGTTTCTGTTAGTTGTTGTTGTTAGCCTTTGTGAAAGTAAGGACTTAGGTGGGTTGGTTGGTTGATTGATTGATGGGTTGTTGTAGTTGTCGCTGGACTTTTGCGGTAGTTCTTTGGTAACTTATGATGAACTCCAGTAACATGCCATTCTTTTTGTAACTTAAAAGAAAGGATGATTTCATTTTGCTTCTCTTGTGGTTCAACTAGGGAGATTCTGTTAAACAGTCTCTCTCACGACTGTTAATAAATTTTATACATTTCCCGTGTGCCGCTGCTGAATAGTTTCTTTTTGATCTGATTTCATGAATGGTTTTAGTTTGTTACTGAATGTTTCATTTGTTGCCTTTTGTTAGAATCTACCTGGTAGACAGATGGATTATAATAGAAGTTGGTCTCTTCAGTTGCAAAGTATAGCGTATCATCTATCACCATATGAAGCCCTGTGCTCCATTGTTTGTACAGCCTATCTCTTCCTTCCTTTCATTTTGTTTTTATTTGCTTGAATTGAAGATCCTACCAAACACAAAGTCACCTTCTTCTATTGGGATTGGTTGATCTTCGAAACTAAACTTTATTGTTTTTCTTCGTTAAGTTATAGTGGAGTGGTTCTTTGTCTGTATCTGGTTGGACATCATCTTATTAGAAGTGAATATTATAAATGCTTACTTGGAAACATAAAAACGTCATCATTGAGATCAAGTGCCTAAGAACGCACATGCTTTGTCCATCTCTTTAGACACTTCATTGGATTCAGCTTCAGTAAAAAAAATTTAGCGGTTGTGGCACGTGCTTAACCTTATAATATAAATTAATAAAAGGGCCAAAAAAGAAACAAAAATGAAATGAAAGGGTAAAAAGATGTGGGATTTCCCTCAAAGTGATCGGAACCTTCTCCACGTTTGCATCTGAAGCTGGCTTGTTTCCTCTTCTCCACGTATCAGTTATCACTTGTTCCCCAGGAATGGCCACCTCTACTTTTCACCTTCTCAAACCCAAGCCAACACTAAATACAAACTTCAAAAACACAATACACATCTCTCTATCATTCGACTGTGATCAGTTCTTCCAAGTGCCCATCAGTCAAGCAAATAACAAATCTCAAAAACGACGTTAAATTGATTGAGTGGTCATCCATGTCAGCGGGTCTGATGAGAAGGGCAGCGGCTCCAACCCTCCTGAAGAAGCTGCTGCTCAAACCTCAAGCCGTCATTCCTTCTGCTTCTCTTCTTTGTCGTTCCTTCAACACTGATGGCTCCCAAAACGACGACAACCGCTCCATCGACGGTGATCGTCGCTCCGATACATCCGTTTCTCGTCGCACCGACTCTTCTCCCGCCCTTTTCTCAGGTATCTATGTGTGTGTGTGTGTATGCAGAAGTAGTTTTGATCTTATGTTGTTATACAATACACTGACTGTTTAGCAGACGTACTGAACCCATTTTCACCGGCAAGGAGCTTAACCCAAGTGCTAAACTGGGTGGTCCAGTTGATGGAGGACCCGTTTTCAGGGATGGCGCCGAGAATCAAGGGAGGGGGGCGGAGGAGGGCGTGGGACGCCAAGGAGGATGACAAGGCTCTTTATGTGAGCATGGACATGCCTGGTCTTAGCAAAGACGACGTCAAGGTGACGGTGGAGCTGAACGCCCTCATCGTCAAAGGAGAAGAAGACCCCGTTCGGAAAGGAGGTATGTGAGCCGGCTTGACCTGCCTCCCAATGTCTACAAGTTGGACTCCATCAAGGCCGATATGAAGAATGGAGTTTTGAGGTTGGTCATTCCTAAACTTAAGGACGACCAGAGGCAAGATTGTTTTCAAGTGCAGGTCGAGTGAATGACTAATGTATATGTATCACAATTATAAAGGTCTTACAATAATGTTGTGTTTTTTATATGTTGCAACACAAGTCATATTTTCACATGTAGAGTTTAGTGCCAACTGTATTTTTGGTCCTTTTTTTTTTTTAATTGTGAGTTGGCTTCAATTTTTAGTCGTTTACTTTTTAGTAGTTCTTATCTTAAGGGTTTTGCTTTTCTAATCAAATCAAATCAAATAAAATTTCCAGATGATGATGTGGTTTCATTATTAATCTTCTAAACGCAGAGACCGTACAAAAAATGTACACTTCCTGGCCTTTTATTGCTACTTTAACAACAAAGGACTATAAACCTGAGTAGATCGTTTAAGATTCAAGAAGTCTTCTTCAGCGCATAACCAATTTTGTGACGGTAGACAACAAGTGTGAAATGAACCACCATTATAAATGTCTTATATTATATTTAAATCATTAGTGTAACAATTTTTTCACTTGTTGATAGATTGCCTGTTGACAAGATGGTGACATTGTTCCCACAACGCCAAAGACTACACGCTACGCTGACCAACCAATATAGATTCGTTCCGCAAATTATTTGATAACCGAGCCACCGACTGGTTACAGAACAAGAATTGCTTCGCTACGCAGACACATACAACAGAGGATCTGGATGCATAAGATCCATCAATTCGACATTTGCTCTAGAAAAGCGTGGTCAAATTTCAAAATACAACAGAAATTCAATAGAACAGGATAATCCTGTAACAACTACAGGCCAAAATATTAGCAAGGGCAATGAAACAAATTCATCAGCATTAAACTCGTTCATAAACGAGGGACTGCTTTTCTCCTCAACCAGCTATCACCAGAACTACTCATGGTTCAACTTTAGGCATATCTACATTACTCTGCCAACTTCACCAAAATATGAAGAGAATTCTTTCCATGTAATTGAAACTCAAAGACAAGACTTGGGATTTCTGAAGTAAACAAGGCGAAATTCGAAATAAGCAATAAAAAAAATCTAGAGACCTCATTTCGTTGCCTCGGCCCTCGGTCACACCCTGCACAAATAAAAAGCAGAAATTTAAACAAAAACTATTGTACTCGTTCAAAAACTAAAGGGAACATTCATTATAAATCATCAAACTAATTCATCTTTTCACTCTACCGAACAAGAAACTTGAATTCTTTTCAAGTCACATCAAAGTTTGTTTAAGTATTACTAGGCCAAGAAGAAACGAATCTTCATTATCTCTTCCCAAAAGATATCATAAATAAAACGAAATCGGAACACAATTGATGCCCATTTGCAGGACAGTGCGCCCATTACTTCATTGTATGTTTCCAACGACATCCAGGGAAAGTAATAGCATCAGACCATGACAAAGCCAGATATCCTTGAGAATCCAAAGCTAGATATACCTTACAGTCTGTGGTACATACACTACATGAGAAGCAAGTAGTAGGTTTCTTCCTTTCTTCCTTTTTTTCAAGTGAAGTGAAAAGATTTAAGACAAAAAAAGATAGCACTCCTTAAAGGCCTTGTAGATTTCGTAATTAGTCTTTTTAGCCCTCCAATTCAAGAGACACAAATTATAGCAAGAAACAAGGCATTACAAGTTGCCAACATAACAGAAATACAGTATTATGCCAATGAAACTTGTATCACGTTTCAAAACCAGTATATGCCACAAAAATCCCGAACTCACCTCCTTGAATGCTTTCTCTCCCTGGAAAAGCCTCCATCTCTTCTGCTCTTCTCCATCAACAAAGCACGTTCCTTCTCCTTCTCCCGCCTCTCTCTTTTAAGCCGCTCTTCTCTCAACTCCTCCACCGTCTTCTTCCCGCTCTTCTTGCCCACCTCCTTCGTCACTCTCGACGACCCATTACTATCCTCACCCTCAGCATTCACATTCGCATTTGCATTTGCATCTCCGCTTCTTCTCTCAAGATACCAAGGCAACTTAACTCCCTTCCCAGCAACACCATATCCTAATCTATACTTCTCATCTTCCGCATTCACAACCTTCGTTGCAGCGTCCTCTTTCCTCATCTTCTTCTTCTTGGGGCCATTTTTTTCATCACCTCCCTCCTTCTCCAATGGATCAAAAATCTTAATTCCTTCAAAGAGGTTAATGTGGCCCGATTTCGGTTCGGACTCGTTGCCAGGCGACGTGGCGTCGGCTCTCTTCACCGGAGCCAAGCCGCGAGATGCTCGGAGCTGTTCGAGACGGGACTCTGCGTCCCGCTTGCGAGCCTGCTCGCGCTTGAGCTGCTCTTCTTTGGCGGCGGCTTCTTCATCTCGGCGAACTTTCTCTCTGTTCTCGTAGTTGTAGACGTTCCAGCGCTTCTGGGGAAGAATGTTCAGGCCTCCATGGCCTCCCATCTTCAATTGATCCTCAAAATCACAACTTTAACTGTAAAATTCTTGCGATTTCTATTAAGGCTTTTGCGAAATTTAACTTCAAACACCCATAACAGAGGTAAGCACAAACTGAATCGGAAAATTAAGGTGCTGGGATTGAAGGAATGTAAGTAAAAAATTTTAGACTTGAAAATCCATTCCCATGGAATTCGAATACGGAAAGGACTAGAAAACGGAATCGAAGGATGATTTGCAAAGTTCTAATTCAAAATTTAGGGTTTTGCTGCGACGACGTTTATTCGTTTATTTACTTATTTGTTTGACAGATAACAGAAGTGAATTAGTTGCTTACTTTGAATCTCGATCAATGAACAAATTCCCCCTTGTTGGTCGTTGTGAGTTCGTGCCCCCTGAAATTGATTGATTGTTTTCGCCTGTTAATCTTCCTGCCAAGATTTCAGCTCATACATGCAAATAATAAATAAATAAATAAATAAATAATACGTGGGTTATATTTGAGTTCTCGTACAATATTATATAATTATTATTATAATAATCCTTTTAGGTTCATTTTAAAAAGCGTCTTTAAATTATGATTTAAATAACGATTAAAATTTTTTATAAGAGAAAAATATTCTAATAAAATCATAATTTAAATTTTAAGTATATATACTAAACTAACTCTTCAAATTCTCTTATTCATACAAGATTGTAATTTTTTTGTCATAATTTAACAAGGTTAATAAAATTATGCTTAGGTGAAATTTTTTAAGAAAAAAAGATAGGCATGTCTCACGCGTCTTCTCCTTTTCTTCTTTTCATAAACTAATAGTCCAATTTTAATTTTTTGTATTTTTATTTCTAAAAGAATATTATAAAATAAAAATAATTTCATTAGTTAAAACATAAAAATAATAATAAATCTTGATTTTCAAAGTATATATTGATGGCTTATGAGAATAAATCCAACAAATTTTAGATTTATTAAATTTGATTTTTTTTAAGTAAATCCGAACAAATTTCAATTCTATCAAATTTAGTCCCGATAAATCTTGAATTTTTCAAATTTAATCATGAATAAATTCCACTAATTTCTAAATGTAAATTTGATCATGAGTAAATATAATAAAGCACAAATTCATTCCGGTTTATTAACTTCCCAAATGAAAATACATTCATTAAGCATGTTTATTAAAAAATAAAATATTAAAATAAAATATTGAATGATCAATGTATTGCAAGTCGAGCTTTGAAGCCTTCATCTGCTCTATTTTATAATGAGTAGAGTATGTAGGTTCCGAGAAGTCTATCCTACGTCACAAATAACGATTGAGAAAAGTTATACTTGCTGCCAATGATAAACACCATGATGAGCAATATTGTTAGTGAAGAAGATGTGGAAAATATTATCATGAAACCATATGCCACAATGATCATCAACTACTCTTTTTTTTTTTTTTTTTTTTTTTTTTTTTTTTTTTTTTTTTAAGAATTGATCATCAACTACTTTGATGGAAGTACTTGTTCAAGAATAAGAAAAAAATATATAATATGGAAATATGACCAAACATAAACTACTTTTATTGCGCTCTGACTATTCTAGTAGGGATGCCCCACTCCTAGTTTGTTTTACTAGCTTATTTGTGGTTGTTTGTTTCTTCTTGAATTAAAACTATAAATCAGGTTGAGTTGAGCTGTTATACTTATATCTTGGTCGGCTCCAACTCAATCCATGTAGAGCCTAAGCCCAAGCAGGACTTGACCTAGCCCAAGTCAGTCCTGGCTTGACCTAACTTAAGCCTAAACCTAGCTCAGACCTAAATATATTTTGATTAGAAAAATTCTTATTTTTAATTATAATTACTTGAAAAATGAACATTTGAATATAATTTGCAACATCAGCCCCGTCCTCTCCTCTCACCTGCATAATAACAATACTGAGAATTCACTAATCTAATGTGTACTGATTAATTAAATCATGAAAATCATCAAAGTTTAGAACACTTTTTAAATAATTAATTTAATGACACTTACCATATAACTGAGAATTGCAACCATAGCCTGAACGACTTGTTAAAGAAGGACCCACTTTGATAATTGCTAGTTTGGCCCCTCGATTTTCTCCTCCTCCTCCCTTTTGTCCTCTAATGGACTTATAAGAGCATATAACTTAGAGTACAACCAATAGATTATAGTAAACATGATAGAATTGACTATCTCAAGCTTTAGGTCCATGATCTAGCCAATACAAATGAAGACATGAGAGTATCAATTATTAACTTCCCCATTAACATAATCGAGGTAATTGATACTACAAAAGTTTATATTTTTTGTTCTTATTATGTTGATATATTATTCTGTTCAGTTCTCATGATTAATTTAAGTGATTACTCTTTTTTGAAGGGGTTCTTGAGTTATCTAAATATACTCTCAGGCAAAAAGAAACATTTCAATATCCTTCCCGATGTTAGTGGAATAGTAAAGCTAAGCAGGTGATCATGAACTCAAATATTGCATGGTTCTATTTAATTAAAAAAAAGCTTATGATTATTGATCATTGGACAAGAAGAGATGAACTGTATAGATTTATAATGTCGAAGAATTCGTGAGGGCATTGAAAATCTTCCATGTCATACGAGGAATAGAAGATGAGCTTTCAGCTCGTTTTGACAAGAGCAAAAACTATCGAGCTACTTAGGGCTTGTTCTTTTGAGTGAAAAACTCAAAAAACTGCAACTTGAATTATAACTTTATTCGAGTTCATGTTCTTTTAAGTTTAAATTAGAGTTTAAACTCGAGTTCAAACTCGAGTTTAGGACTAAAACTCAAGTTCAAGTTTCCCCTTCAACTCGAGTTCAGAAACTCGAACTCAAATTAATGAACAATATTTTTTCTATTCTTAAAAATGCTATAACTTTTTCGTTTTAATTGGGATTGAGATGATTTTTTTTTCTATGCGTTGACAACGAAAAGACGAATAAAACCCAACCCATATACCCTATTAAAATTTTTCATCAGCATTGAGTTTTTATTAAAATACTATCTAAATACAAATTCAAGTTTTGACTGAATCAAACACAAACTCAAAAAGATTCTTATCTCAAACCATAACTCAAATGTACACAACCAAACACAAACTCAAGTTACAAGTTCAATTCAAGTTAAAACTCAAATTCAACTCAAGAATTATATTCAAGTTAAACTCCAAAAGAACAGGCCCTTAAAAAACTCAAAAATACAGTGTGAAAAAAAAAAGCTCTTGAAAGCTATATTTTCTAGAGAAATTTTCTTGAGATGCCCCACGCGTAGTTTATTTTGCTGGATTATTTGTGGTTGTTTGTTTCTTTTTAAATTAAAACTGTAAGTCAAGTTTGAACTTAGGTGTTATGCCTATAGCTTGGGTCCAGCTCGACCCATGTAGAGGGCCTAAGCCCAAGCGAGGCTTGGCCTAGCCCAGGTAAGACTAGGCCTAACTTAAGCCTAAACCTAGTCAGACCTAAATATATTTTGATTAGAAAAACTCTTATTTTTAATTATAATTACTTGAAAAATGAACATTTGAATATAATTTGCAACATCAGCCCCGTCCTATCCTCTCACTTGTATAATAACAATATCGAGAATTCATTAATCTAATGTCTACTAATTAATTGAACTATGAAAATCATCAAAGTTAAAAACATTTTTTAAATAATTAATTGAATGACACTTACCATATAACTGAGAATGCACTTTAAATAATTAATTAAATGGCACTTACCATCAAAGTTTAGGAAATATTTTTTTATTATTGTTGTTTTGTAAAGAATCTTAAATACACTCTTCGATCTATTATATCTCCAATAGTTAACTTGATATTCATTTTATTAATATATAACAAATTACAAACAATTCGTGATATAATACCAAAAACATTATTAGTGTTACACCACGGTTGAGGAATCGACCATTCCTTTGAGTGACAAGCGCCGAGTAGGGCTGGCAATCCGGGTAGCGACACGACGACACAACTCGAAACCCGCACGAAATTAGCGGGTTTGGGTTTGTCATAAATAGGTCCGGGTCAAAATCAGGTCGAACCCGTGAAACACGATTAAATAACGGGTCATTTTCAGGTTGACCCGCTGATTAGTGCATGAAAATGCACCCTAAATATTGCTTTTGATTTACACAATATTAAAATATTTAAGCTTTAATTAAACAATTCCATTATTTTTATTCATAATATTTTTAATTGGAATTTGTCTAGTTTTTGCTTAATTATTTACAGATCAAAAGCAGTGTAAAAAGCCACACAAAAATAAGCCATGGAAGCCATATTTTCAACCATCCGGAGCCAAGCCATCAGAGAGAAAGCCGAGCCGATTGAGCCGACCAGCTGAGCCGACCAAGTCGCGTCAGTCCGCGTGGGCCCCAGTTCGCCTACCATCCTCACTCCATCTCGCGCGCGTCCCCAGCACGGCCGTCCCTCAGCTGGCGCGTTCCCTCCACGGAGCCATCATCGCGCGTCCAAGAACTCTGAAGCGTGGGTCCCGCGTCTGTAGCCATCAGCTGGCCTTCCTCTCCGCGTGCGACAGGTGTCAAACCTTGTCCTCCACTCTGCTCGCGCCAGCACAGCCCAACCAATCCGCCCACGACACGTGGCACGTTTCCTTCTCACTTCCAATCACGTTACGACACGTGTCCCCTTGGTGCTGAATCCGAATTCCTTCCCTAAAAATCAGAGCAAATTTCCAGATTTCTTCCCAAATCAAATATATGATTTCTCCTAATTTATGTGTAATTTTATTTTGTTTCCTTTTCTTTTGTAATTTTCTAGTTTTACTATTTATTTTCTTATTTGACAGGCAACCTCTGAACACTATAAATAAAGGGGTTAGCCTAAGGTTTTTAAAGGCTTTTAATTTTCAGTTTTCTGTCGTCTTGCTGTCAGTCTCATATTTTCTCTCTAGAACTTGTGAGAATGTTTTGCAAGATAAGCTAGAGTTTTCTTGGTGAGGTTAGAGATGAACTTCTGTTGAGTGACCCAATTCGGGGTTTTGATTCCTTGTTTTGTAAACTTCAACATCTGAATGAATTAAATCTCATCTATTTTTCTATTACTTTTCAAAATATTGTGTGTCAATTTTTATATAAGTTCAGTCACGCTTTTCTTATGTAATTTTGTCATGCATTGTTTTGTTATTCAAATTATTTTACAAATTGTCTTTTACTGTAATATTGTCAGATTGATATATTGTCGATTTTAGATAACTTGTAATAATAATATTTTCCGAGCCAACATAGAGATTTAATTTATTCGATTATTTTATTTTGTGAATCAAAACTTGAATTGGTGAACGAAGCATTAGGGATTCTCGACACTTTACCGTTTTCTTCATACAGATTTTCTCCTTTTTATTTTATTTGCAACAAAAACCTCAAAAACTCTCATTTTTCTTTAATTCACTTTTCTCTA